CGCCACCGGTGCGGGGATGGCCTGAACCAGGTGGTGATGTGGGGCCCCTGTGTCTGCTGACGTGGATGACATTGAGATTTGATGGCGGTAAAATTTAATTAGATGACGATTCGTTAATTGGGTATTTTGGGGGTGAGGAGGCGAAAAGGGGTTAGGGGCTGGCTTCGTTTTGGATTTCGGGTTTCCTTTTTTTCCCCTTTTATTCTCCTTTTTCTTGGGTTTTTTATATATTAGTCCCTTATATATTAAAAATTCGTTCCACAATGAAATGATATTGCTATTAGGTCCCCGTTTCATATAAGTTGTCTCATGACTAGTACCTCGAATCATTTAAATTGCTATTAGATCCCTAAGTTCTTACAAGTTATTCCAAAATGAGTCCCTCTAAACATTGAAATTGTTATTAGGTCCATAAATTCTTATAAGTTGTCATGATCAGTCCCATAAAGATTGAAATTGTTGTTAGGTCCTCTAGTTCTTCTAATGTAATTCAAATTATTCCTTCAATCAAGAGCAACAGTACCAAGATGCAAGCATTGGGGGTAGGAGTGCTAAAAATTATCTGTATTCGCGAATGTATTTACAATTGTATCTGTTAGGATACGAATATAGTTACTAAAATCTATAACCGATAGGATACGATTACGGATATGAACATATAGTGAAATACATGTATCCGTGTCCGAATATATGCTGATCATACAATTGTAATTATTTTAATCCTAGACTAATGGAGTTGAGATTTATTTTGATGATCAAAAGATATAATCTTAGTTTTTCTAATATAACAAAAATATTATTTGGTTTTATCATATTCCTTTTGTATCCTCGTGAATATCTGCACGTATATCCGTAGCTTGTTTTAGCAAAAATAGATACGAGTTATCCTTACTGAAAGTATTCATATCTATAGCGAATACAGATATGGCAAGTATCATCTCCGGGAATACAGATATGGCAAGTATCATCTCCGGGCCGTATCCTATACGTTAACACTCCTAATTGGCAAACCTAATGGTGATCTTAATGATTTGAGGACTAACTTAAGAATATTAAATATTAAGGGGTTAGTTTCAAAAAGAAAAAAAAAGAAAAAAAGAAAAGCCCCATATTGTTTGGAACTAAATTGGATAAGGGTTTTTTTTTTTTTATTAGCCAACAAATTTAGCTTAAGTTTTCTGCAGTATCAGTGTGTGGTCACAGGAATGATCCGCGGTGGTAGCATGACCTGAAGTTAGTTCATGCAACATTTAGAAATCATTTGCATTAGTAACACTACGACCAAGCACAACCTCAATAACGTCATACTAAACAAAAGCTCAAACTTACACAGAAGATACTTTTCCAGAAATCAAATAAGCGGCATAACAATCTCCACCCTAATATAAAGAGTGCAGAAGAAAATAACTGATCAGCAGCTCAAACTCAAGACGGTGAGATGAATAAATATCCCTTTATTATAATTGTTTCATCTGTACAACGCGACAATTTTAGAGGTGCTTCTGATATTGTTCTCATTGAACCTGGTCTAAGTGTGATTATAAGTGCTGTTCTTACTGATCTGCAGCTCAAACTCAAGACGGTGAGATGAATAAATATCCCTTTATTATAATTGTTTCATCTGTACAACGCGAATTATATAGTTTCTCATAGACTCATGCTGGAGCACATAAAGAAGGAAAACCCAAAACAAAAAGGAACTGAAACATGAATTTAGCATGACACGTTCCCTTTTATACAATTTCAGACTCCATGATAACTTAAACAAAGAAACAAGCTGATGAAAGTTACACTTCCAGCTTACTACTTTACGACATCTAATATGCATTTGCTGTCAGCTATACAGATCAAATTGCACCCCCCCACCCCACCCCACCCCCCACACACACACGCACACCCTTTTGTACAATTGCAGCTGCATGTTCCCAAAATCTCAAAAAAGAAAGATGTTTTGTACATGATTAAACCATTATAATAGTTAGCACACCCTGCCACCTGGTTTCCTCTTGTCAAATTTCTATAATTCCACCAGGATTCTCGCTCTGACTCTTCTTTGATGGGCTTTCCGATGAATCACCCAGCATGGTGGCATCTTGATCGAACCCGCGAACCTCCATAACATTTGATGTGAATGGTTCCTGCAAAAAAAATTGTGTTAGCTCATATACCAAAGCTCGTACACGGATGAGTGCTGTATCAAACATGAATACATCATGATCCTCCAAAATCTTGACAAAAGGACACAACTGTCCAAGAGTCTTATTAGTAGGGATATCAGCATCATTAAGGTAAATTTCGCATTCTTGATTATTCTCTCCCGGATATCTTTTTTTTAAGTTTTGGTTCGGGTATTGGTTTTTTTACTTTCTTTTTTTTTTAGGTTAATTTTTTTTAAATTGTGTACTATTATACACGTGTGATGTGACAATCTTTGGTCAACAATCTGCGTCGTCCGCTAAATTCTTTCTTGTATCTATAATTCTCTTCTATCTATCATTCTCTATTCTGTATTCCTCTGCCGTCTGGCACATTCTTGTTCATTGAATTTTTGTATGCCTCGTCTGATAATCTATCGCTTGGTCATAGCTGGGCAAGGAAACTAATACGTAATCGACATCGCGACGGATTAATTATGGTTTGGTTGTCCTTGCAAGCTTTGATCATGTTTGCCATCATTCCGCTCTCTTGCCGTTTTGCTCTAAATTTCCGTTGCATGCCACATTTCTTCTTTTTTTTGTTTTTTTTTTGTTTGTTTTTTTTTTGGGAGGGTGAGGGGTGGGGGGGGAGTTGCTATTATACTCCATAAGTTGTTTCTTCATTAAGCGCCCTGAATTGTCCTAAGCTCCATTATAACTAATTTGACTTTGGTACTGTCATGTGTCAGCAACATGACAAAAGAACAGAACGCCCCAGTTCAAGAAAAACCATTTATTTTTTCCACTTTTAGGGAATTAATAATTTCAGCAAGGGGTATGGATTTGCGTGGTGGTGGTGTGTTGGGGTGGGGTGGGGTGGGTGGATAGGTTTTTTTTGGGTGGGGTGGGTGGGGCGGATTTTTTTGTAAAAACTTCAATGTTCAGGGAGGTTAAAAGTGAGACACCCCGTAATTCAAGGGGGTTAAGTGAAACAAAATTCAAGGGATTAAATGGAATAAACAAAGTTCAGGGTTCACGAGCTAAAACCCCCCAAAGTTCAGCGAGCAAAGTGAAATTTAAGAACTAGTTTTTAACAAAAGGAGCTATGATATATACATCATCTTCCATACAACCTCATCTTCCATACAATTGAAGTGATAAAAGGTTGACGCATTTGTAAGTCTAAGACATGGATGGACACAGGTGTGTCCAGTTGTGAGGACCATGCTAAGCTTGGGAGAAGGTGACATACAAACTTATCATATTACAAAAGCCATAGGCATAATATAAATGATATATTAAAGCAGTACGCTTTCAAAAGGGCCCTTTGTTTCAGTAAACCCAATTTGTACAGTTAAGAAAACTTCTTAAATGTGACAATTGGATCAGAATCTCTCATTAGCCGCACAACTCCAGAAAATATGCATGGAATTAGAAATTATGTTGCCTTTCATAAGATAATGCGGAGTATGTACTGCAGTTGTTCCCTTTTCTGGGAAGAGAGACAATGTGTTATTGGGATTGGAGTTGGATCGTCTTTGAGTTACAGAAAATCAGAAACACAGAACTCATAAGAATATTCTGCTCACAACAATTTAATACGTCAGAACCTGTTAAGAAAAACTAAGCTACTGTTATGTTTGCATCCATGGAAACTATTCTCTAAACAAGTTGATGAGAACAGCAGGCAGATCACCATTGATGTGGATTTCCATGGCATATATTGAAAACTGAACACCAAGTGGTATGCGCAACATTAGCAGTTCTAAAAAACACGTAATTCTGGTTTCATGTCTCAGATCATACAATTGTTGTAGGTAAGTCTTTTTTGCATGAATAGCACAACAAGAAAATATATATATAACTAATAGTGCAGCCTTTGTGATCCTAGGTAGTAACAAATGTTAAAGACATGGTAAAGTTCAATATTTTACGTAAAGTCCAAACCTCCACATTTATATATGTAGGTTATAGTACTGTTTTACAATATGAACTATGAAGATTATAAAAATGACGATCTTCTCCACTTATTTTACCTGATCATCAGCTGCAGATCCTTGAGAATTAAACAAAATAGGGCGGCACCGTTTGTCCTCATTCATCAAGCTTGAATTCTGGAAATGAGTAACAAGAGCCGCCGTGCCCTGGATACGTGCATATGCCAACGATGCAACTTTCTCACTGTTAAACTTCTCCCACTTCTTCCCATTGAAAGTCTGAAATATAAAATGCATTAAGAAAATTTGGAACACATCAACTTTACTGATATGAAAGTTACAGAGATAGTCCTGCTCTGCATTTTCCAGTTGAAAATCCACAACAGCAGAGAAAAGAGAGGAGCATTTTCTGCTGCTCGTGCCATGATGCAAATGTCCATACATGCACACGTAAGATCTGAATGGGAACTTACCTGATAGAACGAGACAATGTGTGAAGAAGACACCATGTTTATGAATGCATAACCGACATTGCATTTATTCTGCAGAACATATACAGCCAATATAAATTGAGGACCAAAAAGTATTTATCAATGAATCTGTTAAATGCAAGATTGACAATCATGAATTTGGAATATCAAGGATAAAGAATGTCATGAAACAATTATATGGAAGATCAACTGTCACAAGAACCACTACTGTCATCACCTTAAAATCTATTGGCAGGTACAGAAAATCGTAAGTACCCTTGTGAGTCTCATCAATAGCTGCTAGCAGCATCTTCGAAGTGTACCTGAAACATTCAACAATTAAATGAATCTCTCTCCATGACAAAGCTCATGATGATGTTGATAAATCATACTTATTTGGAATGTTTTTTATCATCAAAGTTGTTCTCGTATCTTCCCCGCTGGCAATCTTTTCCAAATCAAGCTGATATTGCTTCTTGCTATCAAGTTGACTCCCATTGTTATCAACTCGACGACTACGAGTACGCTCAGTTAGACCCTCATACCCAATGGTCCCAAAGCCAGAATATGGTGCATTCCCAAAAAAGCTAGGCCCCATTCTCTGTGATGGCAACATTCTGAAATTTGGCGAACCATTATCAGAGATGTGTCCTGAAAGCAAAGCAACAGAATTCATTGGAGAGCGAGCATAATTCATCATCAAACTTCCCTCATTTCGGCTTGTCCCGGTACCTCCAAAGGCAACTGAGTTCATAAAAGATGTATCCGGTGATTCAGGGAAATAACCTAAAGGCCTCTCGAAAGGAATACCAGATGGAGCAGACCCAACATGATGAGAATGACGATGACTTTGGGATGAAGCCAGGAAAGCAGCATGACGGTTTGTATAAGGAATTCCATGCCCTTTCCCATTACTGTTAGATGTTAATGAATGTCCAATGGATGTAGGACTTCCCCACAGAAACTGGCTCCCACTCAAAGTTCCAACTGCAGATGCATTAGAAGTTGAGGGACAAAAAGAAGATAGATTTCTAGGGCTCGAACTCATGTTTGGTAAAATCCCACTGCTATTATCTGGAAACGAGTGAGGCTGCTGAATGATAGCTCCTTGGGATGAACTGCTGTTGGAAAACACTGGGTCAGTGTGATTGATTCGTCTCTGATCTTTTCCAATTGGTGAAATTTTTGCAGTGTTAGATATAAATGGTGGAAGTACAGAAGCCAATCCATTGATGCCACCTAGATGACCATTAACTCCAGAAATTGGGGACCTGCTAATAGATTGCAGAGGACTATTTTCACTCGGACTGCCAAATTGTGCCCACACACCTGTGTCCAATGCAGTGTACAGTATACCATTTTATGATAGCGAAACTTGCAGCACAAACAGGGTTGCGGCTAAAAAGAAACCCAAAATTCAAAGATCATAAGCAAACCTGGAGGAGAACTAGTTAACGGTGAACCAACTGGATGCCTATAACTTCTGGTTTCGTCATGATCTATCTCTTGAGTCAACTGTTGCATAGCACTGGAATGACAAAATACAACCTCTTAGAAATTTGAAACAACTAGTTAAAAAGTTAGGTAAAACATCACACCAGTTCAGAGTATACACAAAATAATAATGACAGAATTATGCAGAGAATCATTCACAAGTTTAACTTCTATAAAATAGAGAGAACATCGTTTACTTTAGATGTATCAAGATTATCTACTTAGATCATCAACTTCTATGTATATAATATTCTTTTGGAGTACCTCAGCGACCTTGCTACTGTGAGGCGTACCTATGAGAACCATGGTATGACGTCATACCTGTTCTCAGCATATTGCCCGCAACCGTACCAGATGAGTGGAACATGGCAATAATCAGCATTTTTTGCACACTAAAAAGATTCACCATTAAAGCCACCATATCACTATGGCTTTCTTTCATATATTAATCAGGCACTAACCTTGGCTTCTAGCTAGTTTGTCAAAAATATGTAAACAATATTACCAATTGATTGTGGTGCTTTTTCCTAGGCAAAAGGTGCTGACAGGAAATTATTAAATTATGGTGCAGAAAATGATAATTTGTGGTCAGTGTTCTGCATCTTTTATAAGTTATATACTATTATAAGCTATTAACAGCAGAAAACTGTGATTATTCTGCTGAGAAAGTAGTCAACTAAAGCTTGCATGCGCAATTGAACCATCTAAATTTTAGAGGGACCATTTTGGAAATAGTATAGGACCTGGTAATAATACTAATGGCCTTACACCAAGAAAGGTGTGCAGGACACTTTACAAATAATATACCATTTGAATCTATAGCTGCAATGTGACTTTAGATCTATAGGTAAAATGTAAATATATATATAAATAAAAAAATTATATAGGTAGTGTCTTAGTTCACAAGATTACATAAGCTGCTAAAATCATAGTGACAAACACAAGATAAACAGATTTGCACAGAATTGACACTGAGAATGAGCCTTTACATGGGGAACGATGTGCCATCTGGGTCCTTAAAAAGCACTTGGTGCTCAAGCTTACTACACTGATATCTGTTTCTGTGGGATTTCTTATGCACTTTTTATACTGGTCTCTAAAATGTTATTATATATCTTGCTCCCATGTGATTCTCTTCAATCCCTAGGCTGTAATCAATCTTTGGTTTAAGCTTACGCTGTACGAGCATTGGCGCCAGAAAATTAATCCTACTTCCTTAAAAGGATGAATTAGTTCAAACAACAAACAACAATAATAGCTTCAGATGAATAAGTCCTCGTACCCAGTTGATGATAACCTTTGAAATAGAAAGATTAACAAACAAAAGAAGATAAAAGAGAAATTTAGTAGAAATAAGCGGTAGTAAAGGAAATGTTTACGCCAGAAAGAACATAGGTAGAGAACCCAAAAAACAGAGAATCAGCAGTGATCAAATCATATGTACTAACGTTCTACGAGCTCCACCAGGTCGGCTAGGTTCCAGCTTTATACGCTTGCCAGCTATGTCTGCCCTGTTCAATGAGCGAAGGGCTGCTTCTGCATCTCTGACATCATAATATTCAATAAACTTATGGTGTCTCTTGTGTGGTGTCTCTCTTATCTGCGAGAAACGTAGTAATTTTCTTACAAGTTTAATGTTAAAGACAAATATTAACCAATTAAATCCACATGAAAAATTAATAAAAATGAAAACATACCTCCTTCACTTGACCATACGTACCAAACAGCTTAAGAAGGTCATCATTTGAGACTGATGGATCCAAGTTAAAAACTACAAGGGTTCCCTGGTTCATATCCTTATCTGATGGATTATCCTAATAACAAAGAAATAAAGGAAAAGAAGAATGAATAAAAGATATATACAAAGCAGTAAACCAAAGGATATATATATTAACCTTCGGAATTGAGAAATGAATGTCCAGTTTCCTTCGCCGAAGAGGCTTATTTTGTAATGCACGCATAGCAGTTCTAGCAGATCGGATGTCATAGTAAGAAATCATTACAAAACCTCTATGTTTGCAGGCAGTGTACAAAGTGCGAATGTCCCCATATTGCTGTAAAATTGAACAAAACAAGCTCTAATCAAACAAAAGGTAAGCACTGAAGTAGGATTCAGCAAGGTTGTAGCGAATAAAATCAAGAAACACCATGAAACGGATTGAATCAATGCAGCTATGTTTCAGACAAAATTGAGAAGTCATAGACTTATAGACAATATATAAGTTGTTGTGTAAATTTTTGCGGTGGTCATGTAAGAGGAAATTTTCTCATACACATGGTTAGAATATATAATCATGATGTCATCAGTTCCATGATTAATATTACTAATGAAGCAGAACACGCACAGGAATCACATGAATTTAAACTTCTGATTACCCAGTTGATAATGTAGACAAAATGTTGTCTGTGGAGTATTTTATTTCAACATATTAGCTTTGAAACATTACAACATATTGCTGATTCCTTTTTTCTGATCATTCACACCAAGGTATCGCAAGTGTAACGGATAAAAAATTAAGAGCATCATTCTTCTTCCCCACTAAGCAAACATTCTCTCTTTGATCCATGTTAAGTTTGCACTACTGATCCTCCTCCTGCTATTAACATATTACCTACAAACACGCAAATGAATAGAAAAAGTTGACCAAAGCCTTTATCCCAACTTTTTTGGAATTGTATGAATCATTTATCATCATTCAGTAAGGTTTTTTATTGTTTTAATCCCTGTTCATTTTATCCTCCTTGGTCATCCAGCTACATCCTATTGAGTATGAGTCAATGACTCATCCTTCCGATTGAGACACAAAATGATTATTGCACGTCTAAAACACAGCAAGAAAAATGTATCCTCCAAAGTTGAAGCTATTTACTCTAAATTCTGATGAAGAAACTCATTTTTATCTTAACTGTAAATGCAATCCTCAGTTGAGACCAGTGTTCTAAAAGGCGGCCTAGGCGGGGCAGCCGCCTAGGCGTAGTGCGCGACACTTGGCCGCCTAATTTTGGCCGGAGCGCGCCAGCCTAGGCAGCCGCTCCGCCTAGGCGGGCACCTAAGGGCCGCCTAACTTTAAAACAAAAAAACAACTTTTTAAACCCCTTACCCTGCCCAAACCCATTACCCAAACTCATAACCCAAACCTAACCCTATTCTCTGTCTCTTTCTCCCGCTCCACCCGCCTCCTCTCTCAAACAGTCAAACTCCTGACTCTCCCCCCCCCCCCCCCACCTCTTACTGCTCCCGCCCAAGCGGCCTCCACTCCTGCTTCTCCCGCTGCCAGCAGCTTCCTCTCCCCTTGCGACCCGCCCCAGCTGAGGCTCACCTCCTCTCCCGATTCTCCCACTGCAGCCCAACCCCGCCGCAGCCGCCCAGCCGCCAGTGATCCCGATTCTCCTGCCTCTTCTCTTTTGTAGGTAACAATGTTCATCGTTTTTTCACTGTTCAATTTAGTAAATAGTTAATATTGTTTAATTTAGTTCAATTAATGAGGTTAATTTAGTTAATTAGTTGATCTTGTACAATTTTATTCACTGTTTCTAATTTTAGTTTAATCTTGTTCAATTTTAGTTCAAATTTATTCACTGTTCAACTTCAATTCAGTTAATTTTAGTTAATCTATGTAATTAATAATTAAGATCAAAATATTGTTCAATTTTACATATACTCTTATAGAAGAGATGACTAAGTAAATAGATGTTAATACTTAATAGATCAAGTTATGTGATTTATTTGCATCTTTTAATTATGTATTTATGCATGGTTGATTATGGATCTAAGCTTGTTATTTATGTTTTTTTGCAATTTTATATGAACTTAATGCATATTTTTGTGAATTATTATAATTAAATAAATTTAAAAATAGGCAAAAGCCTAGTAGCCGCCTAGGCGTAGGCCCCCGCTCAAACGCCTAGTCCGCCTAGCGCCTTCTGTAACATTGATTGAGACAGTAAATTACGTCAACTAAAATAATAGATCATATTCACGATAACAGTTCTAGAATTATGCACTAGGCACTATGCTTCTGTTAATAGATGTGAGAGCATCACCTGCCTGGAATTATCAACAGAAATACTTGTCAGGCTTGAGAGAAAAATAAGCAATCAACAAGTGTGCAGCAAGTAGTAATGTAGAATAGTATAATTACCACATCCTAATTCATTCCAACACACCAATGAAGCTTATCAAACACTACATCTTTTAATTATAAAAATAGAAATCATGTTTTCCTTGTACAACATCAGGTGCAAGTAACAATTATTCTTCTCGAAAATTCGATAGATCAACATCAGAAAATTTCCAACACATCATTGCTGCATTTGATTAGCCATATAAAGAGAGAATATGAGGGATATGAGCACACTATCAAGATAAAAAGCACAATGGTTTGACCATTCATTAAACATGATAAGATGATTAGGAGATACAAGAGATAAATTAAAAACTAAGACAGTAAGTAACATAGTAAAAGGAATAAATATTGCCAAACAGTTGCCAGCCAAGACTATAAATAGGTTATAAATATAACTTACAGAAGATGAAAGACCAGATGAAGTCTGAGACAATCGGAAGGCACTAAGTAAATTACAACAATACAATTAATTACCTCAAAGAGAGTACGTAATTCTGAGTCTTCAACATTACTATTAATATTTCTGACGAATAATGTCCTAGAAGGATGCTCTCCATATGGATGTTCGCCAGCAATAGCCCCAACACCATTTGGGAGGCCATAGTTGTTAATGCTGTTCCCAATGTATCCATCATTGATACTTGTTTTTGTCATACCAAGAGTGAGGTTCTCAATAGGATCAGATTCCAATTCCATACCTCCTCCACTATCAAAAATGTCATAATCTTCCAATTCCTCTACTTGGCTTGGCAACCCACTAAGGTCAAAATCATCCATAATCCCAGCTAAAAGCTCTTCCTCATCATCAGGCAACAAGCTCCCAATCTCTTGGAGATCAAGCTCATCCATAGCATCTTTAAGCTTATCGAGTTCAGATGAGGAATCATCGACAGATTGTACTCCATCTACATCCACCAATTTCACTGAATAACAATGCCAAAAATGCAAAAAGTTAACAAAAAGAAGTGATTAAGCATAAGTAAAGCCCTGAACAGTATACATTTCTCATGTGGAAGAACCGGTAGTGAGCTTGAGAAGAGACTAGTATCAGTTGATCCGTGATGAGCACTAGATCCAGTTGGAATACCCCATGCATTGCTTCCAATCTTCATTGGTGAGGTTGTTGAAGAACCTAGAAGAAACAATAAAAAATATTACACTGAGGGTTAAGATTTGTTATGCATGCAAGGATTTAAGAAATGAAAGAATCTGCCATGCAAGTCTACCTGCTCGTCTAATAAGTCAGAAGTCTAGCGTAAAGCATTAGTCTATACAATTAGAGAAAGAACATTTTAGGTGGCTAAAACAAAAAAAGGAGATAAAGAGATTATATATCCTTGATTCTGCCTCAGTATAATTGTATAAACAGGATGTGCGAAGGAACAAATTTCCAGCATATTCCTATTTTCATTTTAACTCAAAGTCTACCTGCCTCTGAAGCAACGACACTAAGAAGAGCTCTACAGAATCTAGAGGTAGTGGACCATGCAACTTAAACGATATTTATCAATAAATAGCTTCTAACTATATACGCCTTAAGTTCTTTCAAATAAAACCACCAAATACAATTTCTAAACACCTAGTGAATGAATCAACTTCCAATACTAGAACAAAGGAATTCAAGTTCCTTACTGCTAATAGCTCACAGATCCATTGCCATACATCTTAGTATCTTACTGCATCAATAACACCTGAAGCTCGTGATCATAAGCAGACAAAGATATAGACTTTAGTAAATCTGAAAATTATCAATAAGAATTTATATTTGAGCGAAAGAATTACATACGAAAGATCACTATTATATCATGCATAAATTGCTTTAGGAAGTCCACAACAGGGTAAAATAATCCGAATCATATATGAGCAACTAATTAGGCCTGGGTTTTATTCCAATATGGCAAAACCCAGTTATAAAAACCAAAAGCCTTTTTTCTGACCCGATCAATGAGCAACCTGCAATGAATTTATTACTACTATCGACAAAGATTACCTATTTTAATAACTTGTTACCTATTTTAATAATTCTACCATGGTAGGTTAGTTTAGCTTCCACTTGCTAGTAAGGTACGGTAAATCCCAGAGAGGTAGAAGCCACAAGGTAAACTCACTTCTCTCCCAAATTTCAAAAAATATTGCTTAACAAATTAAACTCCAACTTTAAAACAATATTCAGATTAACTACTGATACTATCTCACAGACATATTTCATCATTCATCTCAATGCATCAAACAACGAACACATAGAATGAGGGTTTGTTTAAAAGATTGTAAATTTTCAGTTGCACTTTGTATTTCAAACGAAGTGTTTCTCAAAGCAAGATTGCTGCTTCCTCATCATAGTATGTGTTAGTGCTTTAAAACTCCATAAACAGATAAAAACAATCATAATCACTCATCCCTCAATACTTTTAAAGTTTATATGCTTTAAAACTCCATAAACAGATAAAAACAATCATAATCACTCATCCCTCAATACTTTTAAAGTTTATACTAATAAACAAAACATCACTCATCCCTCAATACTTTTAAAGTTTATACTAATAAACAAAACTGCTAGTCTGCTGCTACTTGTCGATTGCAACAGTACGTGCCTAATTAGAGATGTAACTTCATCTTTCTTATTACTAATTATTTTACTTTCTTTTTCACATATCTTCTTTCGTTTCTCTATATTTCCTACATCTAAAATGAATCAGAAAACTTCCAACTTCATTAACCTCCCAACTTTTCCTAAGTTTTTGACATTAATGATTTGTTTAGAATTGCCCCTATGAGGGTAAAAGTTAGTTAATACTACTGAATTTTTCCCTCCAATTTCATAAGACCCAATTAACAAATTTCCTTTATTTTCTTTGTTACCCTAACAATCAAGAAGTTTCAATTGATTCAACAATATTATCAGCAACTTCCTCAGGGTGAAAGACTGATCAAGCATACAAATGCATCATAAACCCGCCAATTTATAATCAATTGCATCAAAATCCAAACTTTTTTCACCAAAACAGCTAGATACTCCAATCAACACTTAGGATCACATGAAAGAACTTGAGGGGAACCAAGAAAATGCAAAATTAACATTTTTAATACAGAAAAATTCAGCAGCAACTAAACCCATCACAATAATCATCAAAATCAAGGGGTTTTAAGCACATTACCACACGTGCCAGAAGTCGTAATTGGAACCCTAGACTTCGATTCTGAATCGGATCCCAAGAATCCCACTCCAATTCCCCAGTAAAGCTTATAGAGGAAGAAAGAGGGAGGACAGAGAAGAAAGGGAGAGATGATTGAAGAGAGAGAAAGAAAGAAGACAACGACGGAGGAGAGAGAGAGAAGAGAGAGAAAAGAATCTGCCGTATTTAAATTGGACTTGGCGTCCGCTTATACTGGAATCCTGGAAGAGGATGCTTGGGGTGATTTTAGTATTGAATTTTCTTTTTATATTAGTACCTTCAAATTTCGAACGTAGTCCCGTAAATTATTAAACTTACTAATGAATCCTAGTTTTAAATTATTCCCTCACATCATTAAACTTTCGATATCAGGTCTCCCCATTCTTTTCAAATAAAGCCCTTTAATTGCTCTTCTATTCTTACAATTGTTATGCCCGTGCTTGCACACATGGATCTAATTTCATCGATTTACATATTAGGATTTTGATACAGTTTGAGCTTTCCTTCTAAATTAAACTTGCATTTAGTAATTTTTAATATTATTGTGTGTATGTTCTATGCAATATATAGTATAGGAAAAATTGTTTCAAGGCCTCAAAACCCAAAAAGCTATGTGCCCCAGCCCCTCATACTATTTGTAATGTGCTACAGTCCCTAAATTTTAAAAAAAAAAATTATGCCCCAACCCTTCCAGCTCATAATTAGCTCAATTTTATATGTTTTTTACCCAAAAACCTAACTTTACCCCTCTCCACTTCTTCTTCAATCATCTTCCCTCTAATCTCAGCCCCCTCAAGCCCCCAAACGCCAGAAACCCAAAAACCCAAAACTCCAGCAAACCCCCATTAAAACCCAAACAAAATCTTCAAATGGAGCTCCCTCCTCCCCTCCAACCCCCTTCAAACCCTCCTCTCTAACGAACTCCCCGACCCCCGCGCACTCTCCCTCATCCTCTCCTCAACCTCACCCCTCCCCTCACATCCCTTCCGCTCACAAATCCACTCACTCGCTCTCAAGCTCAACCTCCTCTCAAACCCCCACCTCCTCTCCTCCCTGGCCCTCTCCTACAGCCCCACTAAGGGCCCCACCCTCCTCTCCTAATCCTGCGACCGTCGCAACCCCCTCCCGTGCATTCTCCTTCTTTCCCAATACAATCCCCACTTTGCCCTCAAGCTATTAGACAAAATGCTCTAACTAAACATCGAACTCGACTCCGTAGCTTTGATTGTCTTAATAAAGGCTTGCGGGTAGGGAGTTTGATGTGTGCTTTCCGCTGATTCGGGAGGTTTTGGACTCGAATCCGATGGATCCGGTGCTTATCTCGAAGTTAGGGTATATTCAGCTTCAGACTGGGGATTTGGATGGCGCAAATGCGTCGTTTTTTAGAGTTGAGGGTTTGAAGAAAGGAGAGTCGGTGGAGTTTGAGAATTTGATAGGGAGGAATAAAGCATTGGAGTTAGTAGTGGCGAAGGACTATGTTTCGACTGTGAGGGAGTATGAGGAGTGCATTGAGAGGGACCCTGGAGATGTCATTGCTTTGAATAACAAGGCTTTGTGTTTGATGTATTTGAGAGATCTTTCGGATTCGATTAATCATTATCTGTTAACTGTTATCTATAAACTGTTAACTATAATCCATTATCTATTAACTGTTACTTATAAACTGTTAACTATAATCCATTATCTGTTAACTGTCATTTGTAATCTGTTAACTGTTATCATTTAACGTGTATATGATCTGAAATTCTTATCTATATATATGAACTGTAACCAATGTGTGATATATAAATGTTGTACAAATTTACAGTCGCATTAATATGTTAACTGTATTTCTTTAAAGTAAAATGCAAAATGCAGTGGTTCTATATCACGCTTACCTGTGAGCGTTCTCATTTAACATGTTAACATGTTAACCTTAATTGGTAGATTGATAACTATATTTAGTAAATTGTTAACTATAATTCATTATCTGTTAACTGTTATTTGTAATCTATTAACTAACACCCTTATCTTGTTAACTATTAATCATTATTTGTTAACTGTTATTTATAAACTGTTAACTATAATCCATTATCTGTTAACTGTTATCTGTAAACTGTTAACTATAATCCATTATTTGTTAACTATTATTTGTAATATGTTAAATGTTATCATTTAACGTGTATATGACCTGAAATTCTTATCTATATATATGAATTGTAACCAGGGTGTGATACATAAATGTTGTACAAATTTGTTGTCGCATTAATATGTTAATTGTGTTTCTTTAAAGTAAACTGTAAAATTCAGCGGTTCTATATCACGCTTATGTGTGAACATTCTCATTTAACATGTTAACATGTTAACCTTAATTGGTAAATCGGTAACTATATTTACTAAACTATTAACTATATAGTAAATTGTGTGTTATAATTCATTATCTGTTAACTGTTATTGTAATCTATTAACTAACACCCTTATCCTGTTAAGTATTAATCATTATCTATTAACTATTATCTGTAAACTGTTAACTATAATCAATTATCTATTAACTGTTACTTGTAAACTCTTAACTATAACCCATTATCTATTAATTATTATTTATAATCTGTTAATTATTATCATTTAACGTATATATGCCCTGAAATTCTTATCTATATATATGAATTGTAACCAAGGTGTGATATATAAATATTGTACAAATTTGTTGTTGCATTAATATGTTAACTGTGTTTCTTTGAAGTAAACTGTAAAACTCTGCATCAATACTGTGTTACTTTAACTATGTTTCTTTAAAGTAAAATGTTATCATTTAACGCTGCATTTTGCATTTTACTTTAAAGAAAAGCAGTTAACATATTAATGCGATAGTAAATTTATACAACATTTATATATCACACCCTGGTTATAGTTCATATATATAGATAAGAATTTTAGGTCATATACACGTTAAATAATAACAGTTAACAGATTACAAATAACAGTTAACAAATAATGAATTATAGTTAATAGTTTACAAGTAATAGTTAATAGATAATGGATTATAGTTAATAGTTTACAGATAACAGTTAACAGATAATGATTAATCGAATCTGAAAGATCTCTCAAATACATCAAACACAAAGCCTTATTATTCAAAGCAATGACATCTCCAGGGTCCCTCTCAATGCACTCCTCATACTCCCTCACAGTCGAAACATTTATTCAAAGCAATGACATCTCCAGGGTCCCTCTCAATGCACTCCTCATACTCCCTCACAGTCGAAACATAGTCCTTCGCCACTACTAACTCCAGGGTCCCTCTCAATGCACTCCTCATACTCCCTCACAGTCGAAACATAGTCCTTCGCCACTACTAACTCTAATGCTTTATTCCTCCCTATCAAATTCTCAAACTCCACCGACTCTCCTTTCTTCAAACCCTCAACTCTAAAAAACAACGCATTTGTGCGATCCAAATCCCTAGCCTGAAGCTGAATATACCCCAACTTCGAGATAAGCACCGGATCCATCGGATTCGAGTCCAAAACCTCCTGAATCAATGAAAAGCACATATTAAACTCCCCAATTGCCTACAAGCCTTCATTAAGACATTGAAAGCTACGGAGTCGAGTTTGATGTTTAGTTGGAGCATTTTGTCAAATAGCTTGAGGGCAAAGTGGGGATTGGATTGGGAAAGAAGGAGAGTGTACAGGAGGGGGTTACGGGGGTCACAGGATTGAGAGAGGAGGGTGGGGCCCTTGGTGGGGCCATAGGAGAGGGCGAGGGAGGAGACGAGGTGGGGGTTTGAGAGGAGGTTGAGCTTGAGAGCGAGTGAGTGGATTGGTGAGCGGAAGGGAGGGGATGAGAGGGGTGAGGTTGAGGAGAGGATGAGGGAGAGTGCGCGGGGTCGGGGAGTTCGCCGGAGAGGAGGGTTTGAAGGGGGTTAGAGGGGAGGAGGGAGCTTCATTTGAAGGTTTTGTTTGGGGTTTTAATGGTGGTTTGCCGGGGTTTTGGGTTTTTGGGTTTCTGGCGTTTGGGGGCTTGAGGGGGCTGGGGTTGGAGGGAAGAGGATTGAAGAAGAAGTGGGGAGGTGTAAAGTTGGGTTTTTGGGTAAAAAACATATAAAATTACGCTAATTATGAGCTGGAGGGGCTGGTGCATATTTTTTTCAAAATTTGAGGGTTGTAGAACATTACAAATAGTATGAGGGGGCTGGGGCACATTGTTTTTTGGGTTTTAGAGCCTTGAAGCAATTTTTCCTATAGTATATTGCCCGTAAATAACAATTAAGAAAATTTTAGATTTTTCCTCTCAAGGAAATTTTATTTAGGGAAAATTGCTTCTAGCCCCCAATTTCCATACAACTATTCCACCCCTCCCAAGACTTTTTCAACGCTCCCAAAAGCAAACCTATAATTCTCTGACCCCCCAAAATACAAAACCCAAGAGTTTAAAACATGTAAAGACCATAATACCTTTTCTCTCCCTTTTTTTCATGATGTTACTGTGATGATTTAAAATGGGTTTTGGGGAAAAAATGCTAGTTCCCTCCAAATTTTTTCAATGGTGTCGACATTGATAGTGAAACTTTCCCGACGTTCGTTCATGAGGCAAAGAAAACTCCGATCATGAAGACGGTGATGACGAGTTGCGTCGCCAACCCCCTTAAGTTTACATATTTTTGTAATTTTTTTGAAATTGATGACTTGATATTAAAGTAGAGTATGTAAATTCATATATTGTTATTATTTCATTATAATAAGTTTATTGTTAAGCTTATGAGTTGGTGGTGAATGAAGGTTACTGTTAGCCTCATGGTTATGAGCCTACTCCCTAATCTTATTTTGATAATTACAAACAATTCCTAACATTGTGCGTACTTGCATTTGTTTTGTTAGGTAATCTACACAAATATCTTTGTTAGAGGTTGGATGGATTGCGTCATAATGATTATATCAAACGGAGGTTTGCGGAAATAGTAGAGTGAAGCCATTGCAGATTCAAGTCTAATTCAAGATAAAGCTTCATCCACAACCAAGTTGAGCTTCATTGTAGATAAAGATTGATTGGGTATAGTTTTTATAGTTTAGGGTTTATACTTTGTATGTAGATACTTCAAGCTCAATCATATACACACATACACATTTTTGGTTTTTAAGTTTACATAAATATAAAATAAATATATTTGTTTATATACTTACATATTTCATA